AAGCTTCACAGCAAGTGTCTGTCTGCGACCCCGATCTAACCTAGAGGAAGCCACGACTACGTGTCAGAGCAGGGAAGATGGCCGTGGGTTGTGTTCGTCACCAGATGCGGAGTTCGCGAACGGAAGCAAAATTTTGCGAACGCTGCTGTTTGCGAACCGAATTGTTCATGAACAGAAGCGTTCGTGAACCAAGGTATTATATCTACTTTATCTACAGTATAGATTAGTGAAGACTATCTTCAGTGAAAAGAATAGACTCTTGTAAATGCAAGTGAAATGTGAAGGTGGTCAAATGTCATTGTCCAACACAAAAAATCCAGACTAGTAGAAACAAGAAAAATTAATCCAGGAGGGAACTGAGAGCAGTATTTGAAAATAAAATAGCGAAGCCAACATGTCACTAAAGGAAAACAACATAAATAAAATAAAGGGCATTTATAAAAAGAAGAAACAACTTGGATACTATGAAAGGGCACAGACTTGAGGAGCCAAAAAACTAACTTGGAGAAGAAAGGCTAGTTTGAAAGTAGAAAATGGGACAGGTTGAAGGTAAAGCAAGATCTGTTCAAGGGGAAGACAAAGAACAAGTTGTGGTCTAAAGTGGCAAAAATCTAAACAATTAGCAGTGTACACTTTTAACTCTTTCTTAGAATTTAAAAAGTTTAAGATTGTTCCTTAGGACTGAACCTTAAACAGAAATGCCTTGATTGAAATAAATCTTAATAGTTGGCATGTTTGAGAAGGATTTTTTTCAGTTTGCTTCCTCCCCCGCCCCCCCCCCCCCCCCGTTAACCAATATGCAACACTCAAGACTAGAGTAAAAAAAAAACCCTTGATATTTGTGAATACTGACAAGCAAGTCCAAGTATGCCAAAAAAAATTAAGCATGTGTATTTAATTAAATGGTGTCTACCCATCCTGTTAGATCTGGCAGGAGAGGCATGCTCCAGGTTCTGTCTGCAAGAGAGTGTCATCTGTCAGGACCCAGGAGGAGAGCCTGTTCTACTGTGGCACCTGCCCTCTGGAACATCATCCTCCCAGAAATTAGACTTGCCTTGACCCTGCTGGCTTTTCACAAGGCGCTAAAAACCTGGCTTTGCCATTGATCCTGAGGCCCTGATAGCATGGGTGAGCCTGTGTCATGGCTTGTTTGTGTGGTTGTGAGTCTTCTCAGCTGCTATTTTTATATTATTATTGTTGTCTATACTCTGGTTCTTTTTATTTATTTTTTATTCTGTTTTAATTGTGAGCCATCCAGTGTCATATGTATGAAATGGGCAACCAGTAACTTTTACTAAATAAATTATATGGGTTTAATGCACAGAAAAATAAATTCCATGTAGTGTTATTTGGGCAGCAGATATCATTTAAAGATCAAAGATTTTTTTAATGGTTTCTATCCTTGTAATCCCAGTATTTGGAATTTGTGCTGATTTTTTTTATGTTGGCAGTTTTCTTGTTAACGAAGTTTTTCTGTCTGGATCAATCACCCACAGGTGGTCAAAATACTAAACTCTAGAGAAAGGTTTTGTTTGTAAAAGCTGTCTTTTGGGGGGGAATAAAAACTAGATTCAAGTATTACTGAAATAAAGATATAAAGTTTTGATTCAGCAAGTCACAGGTCGCTTCTTCTCAGAAAGTCAACTTTTAGACCATGAGTAAGTCTGATATGTTTATAATGTCATTAAATTAGTTCAGTTTAATGTTCTAACCATTTGTTTATTGCACCAAGGGACTTATATTTATGCAGTGACAATGTATTTTTGTAACTGGGAAGATTTTCTAGGTGTTCATAAGACCCAATACTATATCCATGAGTTTGATGGGAAGAGTCTTACAAAATTTCAGATAGCATAATGCTTTGTTCCAGCCCTCTACAAATGTAGGCATCAGACTACAGTTAGGGTGAACGTATCATAATGGACATCTAATTGCACATTGAAGTGAATAACATACAACTTACATTTCTGCTTCCCAATCCAGAGAATATTTGCTTGCTGTTCCTTCTGCAGATCTGATCTTTTGAACAGAATACATATTGATTCATAAAGCATTGGAAAAACGTATAACTCACAGCTGGAGCCTATACTTTATGCAAAAAAACTCCGATTCATTTCCTTGTAGCTCCAATAGGGCTGTTCTGAAATCCTAGAGCAGTGCTTCTCAACCTTGGGACCTTTAAGATGTGTGGACAGAATTGAAGTCCACACATCTTAAAGTTCCCAAGGTTGAGAAATGCTGTCCTAGATAGAGAATCGGGGCCAGAGTAGACAGTACAGCACTAGGTGGACTCTCTCCACCAGGCCTACAGCTCTGTCTGTTTCCAAGGGCCAATGCTCCTTGCCTTGCTTTCATTTCTTATTTGTGAAATAACATTCTGTTCACCTGGCATTCTCTGTTCAAAATGAATGTTGAAATCTGTTCTAAATTTGAACCAAATTATTCATAAGCCTGCTTAGTTTAGAAAAATAACATGAAAGTTGACTTTTGGAAACATAAGTATATGGTGGGGAATATATTTGTTTCACAGAAAGTGTAGATTGTAGAAGCTAGGCAAGATTGAGGGTTTTCTTACAAGAATTACTCAGTAATGATACATCTATTTCTTCTAATTTCTCCCTCCCCTCCCCTCCCCTTCAGTTGCTGTATGCTTTAAAAGAAATCTACTTTTCTGTGGTACAGTGATAGGGACATGGCACACCACAGTGGATATTGAGCATTACCTGTCAAACAAAATATTTAAGCCCATGATTCCACAGTGGGATTGTTAAGACTCGAAAGGGAAAAAATTAGACCTTGTCCAAGAAATAGAAGTAATCTAGCAAGAAAGGTAAATATGAATAAGTATTAAACAAAAGTAATGGGGATGAGAAATGTATTTGCCTTTAATTTCCTCTAGGGTCAGAAGAGGTCCCATAGTCAAAGAATTACAGCATCTTATCATTTGGTTATTCACTTTTATGTTTACTGTAGAAAACAGAAGAAGCTG